TTGCTAGAGAGCCTGATTCTTCAGATGCGGGAGTAAGAAAACATTGATAAAGCAGTCGGCCAGGTTCCTGCTGAAGTGTTCTATTCTGAATCTGAAAAATGGGGCAATTTGCTCATTTCTAATACGTGCCAGGGCATAGTGGCAGAAGGTCAAAGCAAAAAGTTTAAACTGCAGAAGTGTGGGGGAGAATATTGCCTGTTGTGAAGCCTTGTGTCTTAGGTAGTGAGGTGCAGGTAAAAGGCAGAATGGACTAAAGGAGTTGGCTTAAGGTAGAGAAGGAGTGTATGGTTGTAACCCACCCAAGGAGCCATGTGGCTAATGGGGTGAGTTAGAAAGCAAATAATAAATAAATAAACTCACAGACTTATGGGGTAGTAGCAACCACCAGGCTTTCTACTTGACTTCCATCATAGTCACACTGCTGTCCTACCTACCATCCTGTGACATACCTTTACCTACTGTCTTCCATTGGAGCCAAGTCATAAGCAAGGGGTTCTGTAATCAACCTGCAGACCAGCTTTCCCCATCCTGGTGCCTTCTGGACATGTTGAAACTATGACTCCATCATCCCCAGCTGCATCAGAGTGCACCAGGTTGAAGAAGACTAACCTAGGCAAAAAAGCTCTTTAATCCACTTCGCCAGTACAAACTATTGTGCTCTTTCAGCACTCATTTTAAGGCCCTATTAAATAGTACCTTTGCGGTGTGGATTTCTGGATTAATGGGGGATCCCGGCACAATGACGTCAGTGACCTCCCCTCAACACCACTATTTAGCATGGACCCAGTCCTCTCCAGTTGCCCAGAAGAGGGCAAGGCAAGTGGAGACTTTTCCTGCACCTTCTCCTTCTCCTTGTCACTGCATGCATAAGCATGCAGAGAGGGCAGGTGAGGAGCCAGCACCAATGAGGAAGAAGCAGGATGCTGGGGAGGCAGGAAAGCATCGGGGAACTGAGTGGAAAGAAGACAGGCTCCTATCCCTTTAATAATTATACACCAGGGGAAGGTGAAGCAGGTGTAGCTTGCACTACAAGTTGTACCTGCTGACATTTCTTCTTTGAAGATTAATGATGCAGGGGCACTGTTCTCTTTTCTGCAAGGCCACTGTGGCACTGGTTTGGTCAGCCTGTGCTGTGGAGTAGCAAATGTTCTGGACTTCAACTCTCAGAAGACCCTGCCAGTAGGACTAATGGTTAGGAGGGAATAATGGGAGTTTATGCCAGTCCCAAACATCTGGCAATTTACTTTCTGCCTATCCCTTTGCTAAATGGTTTGTGAGTATGTCAACTTAAGATGTGCCCAAAGCCCCCTTCCTTCCCCTTTGTTTTCCCTTCCTTTATATTATCCTGTGTTTGTGATTTTATGTATATATGTAAAATTATTTAGGAAAAAAAAAGAAAAACTCTCGGTAGTTACATAGAAAATTAATTAAAATATGCATCTTTTTTTCTGGCCTGTGCTTGTTATACTGTGGTTCATAATATTTTGATGAATTTGTTAATTCATTGTATCAGACCTCGCTGATCCTGTTCTCATGGAAGCTGTGTATGAAAGTAAAAGCAAGATCTAGTCTAAACAACCTGTTAGTACTGGATTTTCTACCACACCACATGTGTACGGCCTTTGCCCCCATGTTTGCTTTGCTAGCAAAATAGTAAACCAGGAACACTGAAGTGCCTGGGCCTTTTTTAGGAAATAGCTTAGCAAAATTCTCATTCTCTGTCAGATATTGTAATAACTCAGGTAGCACATTTTAAAGGCATAAGTAATTGGATAATTTTCATTATCATCCAAGTTTGCTTTGCTGTTCCAGTATTCTCATAATTCTGGTCAAATATTCTAGCACATGTAATGCTTAATGGCAAAATAAAACATCTTCATAGACTAAGAACTTTTACACATGATTGGCTAGAGCAATTGATTAATAACTTTTACAGCTAGTTATGAAAATGAGATTACAATACTTGTAAAATTAACACTGCATTTCTAATTCTTCTGCCTGTGGACAATTTGCACAACAAGCAATTCAGCTGTTCATAATTAACTAGCACATTTCAGTTTCCAGTTTAATTTTCAGTGGTGCATCTTTCTGATTCATACATTAAAGCTGTACCATTAAACCAAGCACTGAAGTTTTATTTATTTGTATTATTTTTCCCGCTTTAATGGTTTGGCAAAATTTATAAAATAAAATTTGCCTCTGCCACATCTAAAAGGAAGAACAGGAACACCATGCTTTTTACACCACCTTGCACTGATGTGTTACAATGGTACTTCTGGAAACTCAGATCATATGATGTCTTACAGCTCAGTATTATGAACCCACAACATGAGAACATTCTACATCAGGCTGGATCACAGTCTGTTATACAACTCTACGAAAGCAGTCTTGTATCTTTTCCCATAGTGGCTCCATTCATTCATTCATTGTTTGTTCATAGGATTTTTCAGGAAGCCTTGAATAATTCCAGTGCAATCCTATACAGAAGTAAAACTCATTGAATTCAACGGGGCTTACTTCCAAGGAAGTAGCTATATAGAATTGCAGCCTCCAGCACCTGTACCACATTTCTTCTCTGAAGCTGAATCGATCTCTCTATTGAAGTTACCTTTTTCAGTGCTCCCTCAAATTCCTTCACAGATATATCCAGATTTGCCTGATAGGAAACCAAACCATATATTGAAACCTGTGGGCATGAGCTTTTTCTTAGCAGATAAGAGCGTACAGGAGACAGCATATCTTTACTAGGGTTTTGAATCCTTCCCATCTCTTTAAACATGATTTAGACACCAGGTCTTTCCTTAGGAGCAAAAACAAGAAAACTGAGGGTCTTGTAGTTTGGACACACCATGAAGAGGCAAAACTCCCTGGAAAAGACAATTATGCTAGGGAAAGTTGAAGGCAGAAGAAAAAAAGATCAAATATGAAATGGGATGACTGTATTAGAGAAGTCACAGACATGAATTTGGAAGAGCTGAACACAGCTGCCATGGAGAAGACATTTTGGTGGGCTTTTATTCATAGGGTCACCACATGGCAGAAACGACTTCATGGCACATAACCACAACAGCATCCAGAGATGACTGCATAAGGCTGATACCATTTTGTATTTCCCAAATGGCCTATAAATGCAATTGTCTCCATTTGTCACTCCATTGTCTCCATTGGGTAATAAACGTTTATTTCAACAAATAAAAATTAAACACTGCATTTGTTCACATTTTTTGAAAGCTAAGCTCTTTCTGTTTGTCACATATAGATTATTTTCTCTGGTGTGTGTTTAGCACAACTTTCTCTGTAGAAGGAACGGCCATTTAATTGGCACCAAGTTATTTATATGTGGAATTTGATAGACAAATCATGTTTCTGTGTGGATGTTGCAAGGAAGGTCAGTAGACATATGGAGGAAACTGCACATCTCTTCTTAGTGAACCTTTGCCCACAGCTGATGGTCACTTTGCATGTAGATACTGCCTGACATGAAATGGGATTCCAACAGAATCACGTCTTCCATAATGGGAGAAGAAAGAAATCTATACCAATCTACTGCAAATCACCCAGATACCATTTGGTAGGTCCAGATCTTCTACCAATCCCTGTTTTAGCCTCCAGTACATCTTCCTCAACCTGGTGCTAGCCAGATGAGTTGGACTGCAAATTGCCATAATTACTAGCCAGCATGGGCACTAGGATTTGGGAGGTGCAGGCTAAGGCACCATAAGGCAGCATCAGAGTGGGGAAATCTCCCCTAGAAAATGAGCCTTCATTGTGGAAATTAGAGCAGCTGGGATCTGAATCGCTACCCTGCACACCAATATTAATCGCTAACAGAAAAGAACTCTTTTCAGACTCTTGTCGAAGACAAGAATGTTGCTCCATCGAGCGGATCGCCAGAGCACCTGCGCTCTCGAGGAAACATCCTCCGTCCGTGCTACCCAGAATTGGCTTCTAGAGATACTTAGACGACCCTTTCAACTCTACTATTCTACGGTTCTTCCAATACAGCCCGGAACAGACTGCAGGCCAGCCGTCTGCACATTCGCCCAGAAGGCAGCCCCGCAAATGGGGCGTATCGCGTGGGCACCTCCGATGCTTTATTTCCTAGCATGTGCTTGGTCATTGGCTACTTAAAACTGGAATAGCTTCCTTGCCGCTCTGAATTGCCCGTGCAAACTATTACCGCTCCGCCCACCGCGCCCATGCCGAGATGCAACGCTGTTTTGCGCCGGCGGGCAATAGAGTCACACCTCAGGCTTCTATTGATCTGTTTATGTGGCGCTATCTACTGCTATGATTTTATTTATTGGCGATTGCGATTGCTAACTCTAAATTAGGGCCGTGTGTGTTTGAAACCACGATTGTCAGAATGCGTATTCCTACCGCCGCCCAAAGAGCTTGCATTGCACAACCTGAGCTTCAATATCGCTGCTATAAATTCAAGGTGAGGTATCAAATGCAGAAAAAGGAAAGATCAGGAATAAAGGTTGTTAGAGCGAGTGCATGTTGCTCTATGTTCCTACCCGGGCTATATCAGCGTTATGAAATAGCCATAAGATGCGTGTCACTCTTTATGTCTATCTCTGTGAGGCTACTCTTCTGCCCTCAGGTAACTTTGGGAATTCTATTCCAGAGTTAAGCAACTGTCACATATATAGGCAGGCACATATCTGTAGGACCCTTGAGATGCACTTTACTCCTCAGTTAAACGCAAATGTGGGTGGCGCAAACCAGAAAAAAGGTGGGGCGGAAAGGTTTAGAGCTGCCCTTCATATCATATTTAGTTGAAAATTGGCTCAATGGACTGAACACGACGTACTTCTGAGCTAACAAAGCCTTCTTGGAACATTGTCTTCTACCCCGCATTAGGCTGCTCCGGAAGTGTTGTGCTACAATTTCGCTCTATCCTCTATCTCTTGAAACGAAAAGTTTTTTTTGTCCGTCTAGGCGAGGAAGGCAGACAAGTGGAGGTCGCAGTGCATGACGGGAAACCCTGGCGCAAGGCACGTCGGGATTATGAGGGTGGCGGCGGTAGCGCGGATGGTGTCGGACTTACGGGCGGCGGTCGCCGGGGCTGTTTCCGGGCTGGATGAGCGGGAGCTGCTTGGGCGGTAGAGGCTCGCGCGAAGCCCTCCGGGATGTATCACAGCAGCACGCAGAGGCGCTACTGGACATTTCGCGGCGAAGAGGAGCTGAGCCGGCTCCGGGCCGACGCCAACCGCAAGTTCCGCTGCAAAGTGGTGGCCAATGGGAAGGTAGGGCTTGGGCTGCCCAAATTTCAGGCCGGAGTGCCGCGGGCACGGAGGAAAGTTCGTCCCGAGGAATTCTGTCTTTTCCTTGAAGTTAACATGCCTCTTGCTCGTCCACTAGGTTCAACAGACTGACCCGGTCCTTCTTGATCCGCGCGACGAGTTGACAATTTGTAAATACTATGAGAAAAGGTTACTGGATTTCTGCGCTGTATTCAAGCCAGCCATGCCCAAATCTGTCGTGGTGAGTTCGTTATACGGGCTTCTCTTAGATTCGGTAAAGAGAATTCAGCGACACCAACAGCACCTCTTGCCTCGTGTTCCTCAGCCACTGGTGTTGAGAGGCATGTGCCTTTCAGGCTGAAGGCAGCATAGAATCGTTATCGCTAGTAGCCATGAGTAAGTCTTTGCTCTGCGGTAGAGTTGGAAGGGGCCAGAAGGCCATTGAGTTAACCTTCTCCCTCAGTTGCATCTTGAATGCCTCTTGTGTAGGAGAGCCCACAACCTTCCTAGGTACTTGGTACTGCTCTCACAATCAGGACATTTTTCCTAGTAGCTAGTCAGAATCTGGCTTCCTGTAACTTGAGCATTCCACCCACTTGTTACCTCCCCTCAGTTTGAAAAGTTGCCATGGTAGGAATTGAGCACTTCTGCCTTTTCTTAGTCATCTGTTACCATTTTGCCATCTGTATTGATTGGTTGAAGCCCCATTTCTTTATTCTGTTTATTACTTTGGACATATTGGAAGAAGGTTTTTTGTTGCTTATAGCATCCCTTGCTAGCCTCAATTCATTCCTAGCTTTAGCCTTTGAGCCTTCCCATGCTTCCAGCCTGTGTCCTTCCTTTGTAGTCCGACCTTCCTTCCACTTCCTGTACAAAGCCCCCCCCCCCACCCCCCCTTTGGCTTTCAGATAATCTCTAAGCATTTGTGTGTGTGTGTGAAGCCACATGGGCTTCTTCCACTGTGCTACTCTTTTTCCTTGTTGGAATTGATTGCAATTGTGCCTTTAGAATTTCTGTTTTTAACAAATCCCACCCATCTTGGACTCCTTTTCTCATTAGAGTCACTTGCCATGAGAATTTACTTATCATTGTTCCGAGTTTATTAAATTGGCATTCTTGCAATCCAGAGTAGATGTTTGGCTACATTTGGCTTTTGTTTCCTTTAGAATCAAGAATTCAAGTATGATGTACTTTCCCTCAGAGTTCCCACAGCTGCCCCTTTGTCCACTAGGTCTTTCTTGTCGCTTAATATCAAGTCAAGGATAGCCATTTCTATTGTTCCTTCTTTCACTTTCTGTTGGGAGAAGATATCAACAATGCACGTTAGTGAAATGAGTTAAAGTGTTATAAATGTCTTCCTTTATATGTTGGTAAGTTTCAGAATAGCAAGGAGAGTAAAGAGGGGGATGATTGAGTGAGGTGATTGATTGTGACTGAGAGTGTATGGACAGAGCTTGGAAGTATGTGAGGAGAGAGTGAATATGTACTAGATGTCTGTCAACAGTTAACAGTTATGGTCAGTCAGCTGTCTGCAGAATCTGAAGAGGCAGCCTTCACATTAGAATCCCTTGTGAAAAGTATTTAAGATTTAAAAAGAAAGGGAAGGAGGTAGGAGGAGGACATATTAGTAACTAGGGGGTGTCAAAACCTAATATTGTCAAGTATTACAAGGGAGTGTGAGATAAAAGCTGCCAGAAACCTGAGTGCTTGATGAAAAGGATTAAACTGAGGAAAATGAAATAAAGTCTGGTCAAACTACATTCAGAAGAGAAAGGAGGATTTGAGAGTGAGGAGGGTTTGTGAAGGGAAAGAGTGCAATACCTCTTGTTGTATCATCCTTTACGTGGAGCTGCCCTTGAAGACAGTCTGGATACTTCAGTTGGTTCAGAATAGAGCTGCCAGTATGTTAATGGGAACTGGCAGGTATTCGTATATAATGTCAGTCCTCTACCATTTACAGCCTGCAAATTGGAAGTCCAAGCCCAATTTAAGGTGCTGGTGGTAACCTATAAAGCCCTAAACGGCTTGGGTCCTGGATACCTGAAGGAGCACCTCTTTCCTTATGTTTCCTTCTCCGAAAGCCCTCCTTGAAGGAGATTAGGAGGGTGGCTACCCGGAGAAGGGCTTTCTCTGTGGTGGCACCCTGATTATGGAATATGCTCTCCAGAGAAGATTGCTTGGTGCTAGCACTTTATTCTTTTCAGTGCCAGGTGAAAACCTTTTTATTTTCCCATTATTTTAATGTTGAATATGTTTTAAGGTGGGTTTAATTGTACTGAAGTATTGGATGTTGTGCTCCATTTTATTTGTGTTTCTTTTAATATAAAACCATCCCAAGACGCTAGTAGTTGGACAGGATATAAAAGCAATAAATAAATAAATCCTCAGTCAGAAGTTATTTACATTGCTTTATTTACTAAGGAAATAAGGCACAGGACATCTTAAAACTTTATTTGTAAAAGAAGCATATTGGTTTCATTTTGTTTACGTTAACCCAGAGTCATAGGTTGTTTGAATATCAGTGTCTCATCGTCAGGACCAAATAGTCCAATCAAGGAGCCTTATAGCTTGTGCATAATATTGTAAGAAAAGTTAATAAGATTGGAATTAAATTGCTGGTGGCAGCTTTACATATTGAGAGGAAGGGAGAAAAATATTAAAAAAGATAAAGACACCATATTCAAAAGAATTACAGGAGAGCACTCGTGATAGTTAGGAATCCCTTGGATGGGAGACAAATTCTGCCAAACATGGCCCAACAGATAGAGGGGAAATTAAAGTCCCCAGTAAGGACAGCATCATGCCTCCTTGAAACACTGGCAGTTTGCTTTTCAAGAGTTTCATCCTTGTCTTCTCCTTGACTGGGTGGTTCATAATAGACTACAACCACTGTGTTCCTTTTATCCCTTGCTCAATTAAATTAGTCTAGAAATTAATCTGCTTTTGTTGGGGCTACTTAATTCATCCTCATGTATTTCTGTGCTTATATATGCATCTTTAACATATAGTTAAAGGTGAGCGGGAGAGGCCCTTCTCCGGGAACTCTCCGTGAAGGAAATTAGGAGGGTAAGTACTCAGAGGAGGGCTTTCTCTGCGGTGGCGCCCAATCTATGGAATGCGCTCCCCAGAGAGGCCTGCCTGGTGCCGTCGTTATTTGTTTTTTGGCACCAGGCGAAGACCTTTTTATTCAAACGTCATTTTAACTGTTAATAGTATTTATTTATTTTATTCTTTGGCCAGGGTGACTTAATTTATACTGTTAAATTATATTGTTTTATATTATGTTGTTTATTTATGATTGTGAGCCGCCCCAAGGCTTTGGCGAATGGGGCATCATAGAAGTTCCCTAAAGAAAGAAAGAAAGAAAGAAAGAAAGAAAGAAAGAAAGAAAGAAAGAAAGAGTGATTCTGCTTCCCTTTCTGTGCTGTCTGTTCTTCTTGAACAAGTTATATCCTTCAGTTGTTCAATTTCAGTCATGGAAATCACCCCGCCAAGTTTCAGTTAAACCTAGGAGGTTGTATTCAGCCTCCTGTATTAAGAGTTCAAGTTTATATATTTATTTAAACATTTTTATTCCATCTGTATCCAATATGGAATGCCCAATATGGATTTCAAGACGGCTTAGCACATTAGAGACATAATTTCAGTATATAAAAATATACTGTAAAAACTATTCTATTATATAATAAAATCATTCAACCATTAAAATTATTGGTAAATAAAAAGGTTTCATTGGCACACATCTCTGGGGAACAGAATCCAAAGTTGGGGTACTACCACAGAAAAGGCTGTTCCCCGGGCAGCTACTCTTATAATCTCTTTCGGAGTTGACTCCTGAAGAATGACCTCAGTGGAAGATTTCAGAGTTCGGGTAGGTGTATATATGGAAGGAAGCGTTCCTTCAGATATCCACACCTTAAACCGTTTAGGGCTTTATATGTCAAAATTAAGTCAGGTCTGGACTTCAATTGATAACCAGCGAAGGTAATAGAGGAGTGGCATTACGTAGTCACATATGCCACCAAGTTCTTGCTGTTTGTTTCCCATACAGTGGGCATTAGTATATAGACATTGAACACTGCATGCTTTATACAGTGGTGCCTCTGCTCACAACCAAATCGGGTCACGAACAAAAATTTCATGAAAATTTTGACTTGGGTTGCGAACTCCGCATTGGGTGGCAACCAAGATCGCAGCCATCCCCCCCCCCCCCCCACCGAGTGGAGAGATGGCCACGATTGCAGTTGCATTCATGCAGGGAAGACGTGCGTGATCACAGGTGTGCTCCTGTGGGAAAGATGGGCGCAATCTCGGCTGTCGCCCCCCCACAATCAGCACGATCATGGCCATCTCCTCCCCCACAACCCCTGAGTGGGGAGATGACCACAATCGCAGTTGCGTTCGTGCAGGGAAGACACACAGGAGCTGATGACAGAAGAACTTGCTGAACTCTAGAGTGAGCAGCAGAAGGCACTTGCTAAGGAGGATTCCACTGAGGAAGAGGAAGTCAGGGAGGAGGTTAGCTGTGATGTGATACAATCCATTAAGAAAAAATGGAATGAGTGCCAGGATTTCTTTGAGAAGTACCACTCCAACATAACTGTAACGAACAGTGTTGAATCTGATGAACGATAACATGGTCTCTCATTTCCGGAGGGTTATGCAGCGCAGAAAAAAACAAGTGACTATAGACAGATTTTTCACCAAAATTGACCCTGCAGCTAAGAGACAAAGAAGAGAGGAAACCCCTGAAAGAGATCTCCCCAATGTCCTTATGGAGGGGGACTCTCCCTCAAAACAACCTCCCCCCCACCTAGGTTAGTGTTCTCCACTGTACTGTACAGAACTTTGTTAGTTTCTTTGTTCTTTGTCACTTTGTCTCAAATTTTTCTGATAAAAAATAGTTACAGAATGGATTAACCTTTTTTACATTGAATATTATGGGGAAATTTGACTTGGGTCTCAGCCAATTTGGGTCACAATCAGAGTCGTGGAATGGATTAAGTTTGTGAGCTAAGGTACCACTGTACTCTATAGTTTTCTTCTTACATTTTGTGGTAGACTATTATTGGGCACTGTTAGAGCTGCTTTCTCTGATTTGGTACATAAGCCATTGTCTGATCTTACACCCAGGTGTACTTCTCCCTCTCCCTTTACAGTATCCTGCTTGAGGTTTGGTGACCAGGCCTGTATGCAGTTTTCCAAGTGTAATTTACACCATAGGTATAGTGGGACTGATGTGATTTACTTATGATTCCTTTTCTAATCATTTCCAATATGAAATTTTATGAAAAACACCTTTTCCACAGCAGCTGCAGTCTTGGGTGACATTGTATTAGTCATTGGTTAGGATTGGTTTGCACTCACCTGTGTTTACTGTTTTAATGCTCATTCCTGCAGTTTGAAGAGATTCTTCTGGAACTTTTCTCAGTCAGTTTTTCTTTAAAGCCACCTAAATGATTTTGTGTCATGTTGTCAGCAAACTTGTCCCTCTCACTGCTTGGCTCTAACTTGAAATTCTTTATGAAAAAGTTTAAAAACACTGGCTCAGTAAGGTTTCTGAGGGTGAGGTGCGGGGTGTGTTGTGAGATCTGGCCATTTATTCTGTTCTTTTACCAGTTGCCAATCCATAAGAGGATCTTACCTTTTATCTCAAGGAGTCTTTTATCTCAAGGAATTGCTCAGAAGACTTTTGATCAAAGACTTTATCAAAAGTGTTCTGAAAGTCCAGGCAAACATTGTCTACTGGACTCCCCCTTTTCATGCCTGTTGACACTCTCAAAGAACTTGAAAAACTTAGGGAGGCAGGACTTCGTAGGATTCTTATTCAACAAGACTTGTTCTTGAATATGTATGATGATTTTATCTTTAATAACCTTTTCTACCAACTTACTCAGAAGAAACAGTATGCTAATCATCCTTTAACTTTTAAAAAGACTGATGGACTGATTGGCTGCTGGACGTCTGAGTGTTCCATATTTTTGTTAAAATAGTTCATATTTGAATTATTTAAAGAATTCTCAGATTCATCCTGTATGAACCTGATGAATTGTTTACAGTTTGTTAGTAAAGTCTAGAATTTCATCTCTTGTCACAAATATATGCTTCAGTTCCTCAGACTCTTGTACTGAAAATGTCAGTTTAGGCACAGGTGTCTGCCCTATTTCTTCTGCGGTGACAATTGGTGCCAAAAAAAAAAAAAAATCCATTTAGCTTCTCTCTAATCTTCTTAGTCTATTCTAGCAGACTTTCCCCTTGTCTCTCAATTCTGCATCTTGTTTTCCTCTTGTATTTAAAGACTGTTGTATTGGTAGTCATAATGCTGCTGCTGCTATGCTCCCTAAAATCTTGGGATTTTTTGTCTGTTCATTTTTGCTTATTTTCTGCTTTCTTTTCTTTTGTGCAGCTTGTGTTCCTCTTCATTCTCCTCATTTTGAGAAAACTTCCATTTTCTGATGGAAACCTTCTTTTCTTTTCTGTAATATCTTCATTCACATTGCTCATTAACCATGCTTCTTAAACTTAGTGCTGTCTTTCCTGACTTGCATTATAGAGTCTAACTGGATTGTTTTTATTGTGGTTTTCTGGATATAAAGTCTTTGATTTAAGTTTATCACTAGTTATTGATTATGAATATATTTATAGTGATGTAGAAAGGCTTTTAAGCAAGTGCAGTACTAGTACCTCTGCCTCCTTTGTCAACATTTTGTACGGAAGAACTATGCAGCTCTGACCAGGGCTAGTGAGAAACATGGAAACATTGCAGTCACGTGGCTGAAATCTGGGAGGAAGAATTTCACTCCCTGTACAAATTCAGTGGGAGGTAGCTAAGTAGAGGACTTTTTTTGCACTTCTCAAGGATAGGCCAAATCACAGGCAAGCGGCAAAACACCAGAATATATGAATAGTTCCTTCAAGCTCATGGCAGCAAGTATTCCTAAATCAAGTCCTTGCCAGCTGAGAATCACCCTTGGATTGTCTCAGCAGCATGTAAACAGAAATGGTAGATATAGGTATCAGAGCTGGGAGGTAGGGGGCCCTGGACTAAACCTCCTACTACTGGTGGCTGCTTTCCTCCATCATAGATTTTGGTAGTAATCTTCAGAATGGTATCAGAAGATATTGTGGCAAAATATGCATGGCTGGAAGACATATGTTTAGCCATACCTGAGCTAATTCAGCCTTCTAATTTGTAACATTACAGGGACAACTAATAAAGTTTTTGCAGCTGAAATCCAGTTAGTGGCCATTGGAGATGGTAGCAGGGGTCAGGAAAACTAATTCTTGCCATCCTGTTGTTCTCCACCAATGGGGACCTCAGCTATTCCTGGTTCCAGTGGTGGGTACAACTTGGAATTCCATGCCATCAGCTCTGGAGAACTTCTGTTTTTGAGCCTACTGACCTCAGACTGTCTTTTGAATAAACATGCATAGGATTGATCTGCACATTATTTAGGTTTTCACCTAACTGATCAATGTATCCTGAATTTAACTTAATGCTATTCAGTGCTGTCATATATAATACATAATCACGTGAAGCAACTTTCTAACTTAAGTTTCCTTTTAGGGAACAGCCTGTATGTACTTCAAACGTTTTTATCTCAATAACTCAGTGATGGAGTATCATCCTCGCATAATTATGTGAGTAACTGATACTGTTTGGTCTTAGTTTAAATGTTTGCTGATAATTTGCAAGTTTTCTGTTGGACACTAAAGATTCAGGATTGGTTTTCTGTTTAGAGGGGAAAATTTTCTCTTGTTTCAATTTTGTATTTAGGTTAGAATGTTCTACATATACTTTCAAAATGCACATTCTCTGTCTTATGCACATGCACACACTCTTACTGGATTGGAACCAAATGTGTTTTCTGTTTGTTTTTAAGGTTAACGTGTGCATTCTTGGCATGTAAAGTAGATGAGTTCAATGTGTCTAGTGCACAGTTTGTTGGTAACCTTCGTGAAAGCCCAGTAGGACAGGAAAAGGCTCTGGAGCAGATCTTGGAATATGAATTGTTACTTATTCAGCAATTGAACTTCCATCTTATAGTGCATAACCCTTACCGACCATTTGAAGGCTTCTTGATTGATTTGAAGGTAATATAGTTTTTTGCTTAAGAAATGTGTCTTGGTACAAGAACTATTGTAAAGTGGTGAGCCATGAATGATATAGAGAACATTTATCTTGACACTGGAGCTGTTAAGTTAAATTTTCTGAGCTAAAGTATAATTGGATCAAATAGTCATGTTATGGTATTCAAGACCTAAAATGGTAGTCTAGCTTTTGCTATCAGTTTAGTACAACCATATTTTGCCTCATTTTGTAAATCTTTTGAAATCTTATTCTCCAGTTAGTTTCTAATATACATGAAAAGTTACCAAATGGTACATATACATTTGAAAACCACAATGACAATCTTTGAATTAGTGCATCTATTAGCCAAGGAAGAAATGTGTGTTTCCTTTTTGTAAAGTAGCTTGCTTGTTTTATTACCAGAGGTACTACCCATGCAGTCATGTTTCATGAAGGCATGTCTCTAACACCATCCCTGCTGAGGCAGACCATGAACGAAGCAGGGTTATGAATGATATAGAAAAAAAGCTAAATATTGTAGCTTTCTGCTGCAGTCCTTCCCTGTTACCTTCAAGCTGACTGTGATGTTCTCAGCCAGAGATTGCTGTGTTCCCAATGGGATCGATGATGCTATGTCAGGGGCATGGCCCTGTCAGGGAGGGCACTACCTCCCATTTCCTTTGCTGGCATCATGTATGATACAAATTTGGGTGCAGATACTGGCAGGCACATATCAAGAATTGTGTTGCACATTTTTGTCTGTGCTGTAACCTTATTTTTAAGAATGCGATAGTAGACTGTATTTTGCCAGACTTAGGTGACCATCCTGAGGCTTCTGAGAGAATGTTCAGGGGCACAGGCCATACACAATCTGCCTGAGGTCAGAATGAGAGTTCTGGCCTCAGATTCCCCTCCCTCATCCCTGCCACGCACAGTCCCTGTAAAAAGTAATGCAATCTAGAGCTCTGACATTAGAAGTCAAAGGAGAGTGGATTGAGGAATATGGCACAGCTGAATTAGAGGTGACCTTGGATCCTCCTTGTTCTTCAAAAAAGGCCCAGCACAGAGGAAATTTAATGCCACTCCTCCCAATACTTTGGAATCTCAGATGGAAGGGACAACTTCCCTTACCCCACCCCTGCTTTGTCAACAAGATCTCAGCAGGGCTTTTAAGGATCCCACCTGCAATGACTTTGGAGCATTCATACTAGGCAGGTAGTTTGGCAGCTGCCATATTGATTTATTAAGACCTTGGTACTGTACATTCTAGATTATGTTTGTGTGTTAGAAGGGCAATTGCAGACAAATCCTTTTTGATTTAGTTGAATCCTTCTGCCTGAAAACAAGAGGGCCTGTTAGTGTCTTGGCTTGCCTTTCTGAAGCAAAAATAATATTCAACTGAAGCCTGTTCTGAATAGTAGAAGAGAACATAATAGTGTTAATGCATTAACATTTGGATGCTAATTTTCTAGACTCGTTATCCATTACTTGAGAATCCCGAGACTTTGAGGAAGACAGCTGATGACTTTCTTAATCGAGTAGCTTTGACAGATGCTTGCCTTCTCTATACACCTTCTCAGCTAGCTCTCACTGCCATCTTATCCAGTGCCTCCAGGGCAGGAATTAATCTGGAAAGGTAAATACTATCCTGAACATGAAAGTTAGAGCTTTAATGTATAGTTGTGCTGAATCTGTACAAGATTCTAGTTATTTTTAAACAGCCATGGAAGGCTGTATCTATTGTCCTAATAAGACATGGCCACAACAACATGGATTATGAGCTGCTTGCATGTACTGTTCTTGAAAAATAATTCACACTGCTAGGTTGCATGGGTGGCCAAGAAGAATATTTGCATATTGCATTCCCTCATTTGACTGCCTGAATAACTACATGTAGGGTTTTTGAACGTACTAACTCTGTTGTTCCTTCATCTTGTCATATGTCACGCATTGCCTGTAAAATGATTACCTTTGCAGCTTTGTAAACCATCTATCTTACATTATCAAATAAGTGAATGTTTCTAGACTATTGCTTCATGTCATAACACCAGTGTTTTGCTTTAGGAAGGTTATGTTTGATTCATTGAGTGGTAGGGTAGCAGTGTTTGGAAATGAAACTATTGCTGAAGAGCGTTCTAAGCATAATTATTTCAACATTTTTGACATTGGCTTTTGTCTTGTATTTGTACTTTTTATAATGTATGGATATGTGTTTAGGTTTTTAAAAACTTTATTGAAAAACCCTTTCCAACACCTAATATGAAACATTAGCTAAATTTAATTCATTTGAATGGAATGGATGTTAATTTACATGATCTTCATAGCTGCTGTTCACTTTTCTTTACATCCAGACTGTGGTATTTGGATCTAATATTTGCAATCTTTTGACAGTTACTTGTCAGAAAACCTAATGCTGAAAGAGAACAAAGCTTCCCTGTCTCAGTTACTGGACGGGATGAAATGTAAGTAAAAATGCTGAGAATGAGGCAGTATGTACAGATTTTTTATTAAGTGGGCCACCTACAACAAAAGGAAACAGACTTCGTAAAATACTTGATCACCATTTGAAAGATTGCGGAGGCTTTATTTTTTGATGTTTCTAAAGCTCACTAGGATGCATGTTGAAAACAACCTGTACCCAGCTTATGATAAAAGAATCCCTAGTGGGTGTCATTTATCTCCCCTACTGTTTCATATAGGTTCATAAAGAGATAGGCCAAGAGAAAGATGTCTTAGAAAATGATAGAAAAAAGGGGTGGGGTATGCTGGCTGGGGAATGCTGGGAGTTGTAGGCCCTTTTTTTCTGTCTGAACTTGCATAAATTTCATTTTTAGTGCAGTAATATCCCAGTTGGACTCAGGCTCTAAACCTGAAAAAAATGTTGTTTTACAAAGATATTTTAGCCTCTAAGTGTATTTCTAGAACTTCCACTTAATGGAAATTATAGAAATGATTGGTGAGAACTAACAAGTTCATTTCTTGCCACTAAGGATGACCTATGTACTGGTTCCCAGATAATCCTGTCCAGTGACAGCCACAAGCAAAGAACAAGCATAAAATTCAAAAGGCCTGTGGAGGAAATAATTTTTAGTGACTGAAACCAAGGATTGTCTGCTTTAAAAATTCTGTATTGCAGGAAAATTTATATTTGAGGGCATTTTTCCATTCAGTGGTTTAAAAATATACAGTCCAGAATTGGCAATCAAAATTAGTATCAAATGTAGAGCATCAGTAAAACAACCTCTAGCCAACATGGAATTGCCAAGAACAAATCACACCGGACTAATCTGATTTTGCTTTTTGAATGGATAACATTCCTAGTGGACTGTGGGAATGCGGTGGACATAATATATCCTGACTTAGGCAAAGCTTTTGACAAAGTGCTTGATGATAATCCTGATTAGCAAACTCACTAAAAGTAGACTAGATGGAATCACCATCAGGTGAATCCACAGTTGGCTACAGAATTATACTCAAAGAATGCTCTTCAGTGGCACCTTCTCAAACTGGGGAGAGGTAACAGGTGGGGTACTGCAGGGTTCAGTATCCTGTAGCCAGTGTTCATTTGGATGAAGGAGTGCAGGAAACACTTATCAGATTTGCAGGTGACATAACATGGGGTGGGATAGCTAGTACCCTGGAAGACAGAAACAAAATTCAGAGCGAACTTTAATAGGTTGGAGTGCAGGGCTGAAAACAACAGAATAAACGTTAACAGGGACAAATGCCAAGTTCTACACATAGGAAAAAGAAACCAGATGCATGATTGCAAGATGAGGAATACTTGGCTCAACAATACTGCAAATGAGAAGAATCTTGGAAGTGTTGTGGAATACAAGCTGGATACGAGTCAACAACATGATGTGGCTGTAAAAAGGTCAACTGCTATTTTAGAATGTATCAATGGAAGTATCACTTCCAAAATGTGTGAAGTTCTAGTTCCCCTTTACTCAGCATTGGTTAGGCCTCATCTGCAGTACTTTGTCCAGTTCTGGGCACCACAGTGTAGAAAAGATGCAAACAAGCTGGAAAGGATGCAGAGGAGGGCAGCAAGGACGATCCAGGGTCTGGAAAGAAAGCCCTATGAGGAGAGAGTAAAGGAGCTGGGTATGTTTAGCCTTGAGAAGACTGGGGGACGATATGATAGCACTCTTTAAATATTGGAAAGGTGGTCAGAAAGGAGGAGGCCAGGATCTCTTTGCAATCATCCTAGAGTGCAGGATGCGGAGTAACAGGCTCATGTTACAAGAAGTCAGGTTTCAGCTGAACATCAGGAAGAACTTCCTGACTGTTAAAGCAGCAAGACAATGTGACCAATAACCTAGGGAGGTTGTGGGCTTTCCACACTGGAGGTGTTCAGGAAGCCACTGCACAGCCATCTGAGAGAGTTGGTATAATTTGGAGCCCTGCAATGAGCAGACTGTTGGACCTGATGGCCTTCTTGGCCCCTTCCAACTCTGCTATTCTATGATTCTCCCTAGCCTCCAATCTGCGGAACCCACAAAAATGTCAAACTAATTGAACTCCCTTTTTTCTAGATGGGTGCTTACAAGACTGTCCTTGATACTGCTTTTATGCTTGCATCAAAGACAGTAAAGCCTTCAGTTGATTTATATTTTGAAGACTTGATATGCAAAATGTGTCTTGTCTCTGACAATTTCCCTGGGATGGTAGTGCTAACTCTGCATTATCCATTAGCCTGAAGGAAATAAAAAAAATAATAATGTGAACATCTAGTTCAGTATAGTTCTTCACTTCACATTTACACTGTCTTGACATTACTTAGAATAAATCCTCTGATATAAGATGACAGCTAAGAGTCTTACAAATGTAATCTTAGCTTCTCTAAAGGAGTGACGAGTGTTTTATGGCAAATTTAAGCCAAGACTTTGTCTGTGAAACTATTTAAAAGAAGTTTGAACACTTCTCAATTGTCTCTTGTTTGCTCTGACAAGAGGACTTGCTTTTGATAAAAAAGCACTATCCACAGAACATTCTGGCTCTTTTGAGAAGTGGACTATGTAGGCTTTTGTCAGATGAAACTATATGAGGACAGTCACTGAAATATGTCTTACTTATTACAAGTGGCATCAGCAACCTGCTAGGGGAAGCGTTTTTTCTTTTTCCTTTTTTGGTTCAGTCAAGAGTAGCATTTCTTTAACCTCACTGATGTGCATCAAGGAACAGCACCCTGCTGAAAGGGGCAGCACACAGAAAGGGAAGCATTCTCATCTCTGCATGAGTAGTTTTGTGCAGAGAGGGCTACAGTCGGACAAACATAGTATAACTTCTTCAGGTTAGATCCCACTTAGTCCAGTATAAGGACTCTCTGTTGTTGCACTAGAAAACCTGGAAGCTTCCCTTTTGCCCAGGTCTGTGGAAACAAAACAGGTTGGGTTCCATGAAATGGCTTGGAGTGCACAGCTCCATATCTAATCTTGAACACAAGGATGGGACCACGATACTTGTATACTTGTATTTCTAGCATGCTCAGAGATATAGTCTATCTCTGGTATTTGATATGTCTCACAAGGGTCCGGGCTACAATATTTTGAGAAGGCTTTCATTGTTCCTTTATAGGCATGAAAAATCTGGTTAAAAAATATGAACTACCACATCCAGAAGAGGTTGCTGTGCTAAAACAGAAGTTAGAAAAATGTCACAGCCCAGAACTTGCTCTTAATACTAATGTGTAAGTAGCAATTTAAAGCTGTGTGTTAAGTTTGTGTTAGGTTGAAATTACGTACAAAGTAGCTTGCATGATTAACACTAGATTCCTCTGAGGTTTATAATTTTGACTTCCAGATAGACTCTTAGAAAAATGTAGTGCAAAACCTTACAATACAGTCTCTTGGTCTGTCTATCAGAGGCTTCAGATCAGGACCTGTTCTTGGTTCTGGTCATTATTTTACTTTTGGACAAGTACTGGCTTGCATGGAAAGAACTGCATGTGAAGGGAAAACTTCAGTGATGCTGTTCTCTGAAATCTTGACTAAGCTAGTAGATTACTTCTTGCAGCGTATCTGGGAAGGTTGCATTACAGGAGGAGGAGTAGCGGTGAATAAGAAAGATAATGAGATATAGCATAAACATTCCAGTGGGACATCTGGACCTGAGAAGAAGTATGTGTACAGCCTTTCACAAGCAGAATAATATGCCTGGGTTTAAGATTAGCTTTCTTATGCATCACTTTTCTGCTGGGTCTGAAGCAGCCCTAAGAACATTAACACATTTATTGTGCAGAAGCATTTGTGACTTGGAGTCCACTTTATCAGATTTGTGAAGTGCTATCTTTTGCAGGTGTTCATGTACACAGGAGTATAGAGGGAAGAAATGTAATTACTAGCTCAGATAGAAATTAAATGCAACTCCCTCAAATAGAAAGTTTTAGTAATTACATTAAAGGTTAAATACATGCAATACACTTAATTTTGTATATATTTGATATTTAATCTGTAATTGTGTGTTGTATTTCAGTTTTATCAGAGGCTCTCCCCTATCCATAGGTGGATATATGCTAACAGAGGATAACAATCAATGCTTCTCATGAAGTAGTCCTCAGTCCACAAAAGCATATGCAAAAAAAAAAAAAAAATCATTTGCCCTTCTAAATTACCATAAAACTTTTGGTACAAATTACTTTTATTTTTCAATTGTTTCAAGGAGCCTATGGTGATGTATTTAAATAGTCGTTTTATGTCATATGCTTTGTTGCTTTGTTAGGTTCTGTTCCACTTTCTTTTAATATAAAAATGTAAGGAGCTGAACCTGCTATCTAACATTTTTGTGTGGCCTTGTTAGAAAGAAAAGGAAAGGCTATGAAGAAGATGAATACATTACAAAGAAATCAAAAATGGAGGAGGTTAGTAGACTCTTGCATACTTTAAGATCTGTCACACAATTAAAACTTTGTTGAACTGATTGGCTTAATTGAATCTTAATTAAATCCACATGAATTGACATATTTCTAAACCAAAAACGAGGAAGAAGAGCAGGAAGGAACACCATTCCGCACGGCTTTTTAGATGGTTCATTTGTGTCACAGCCAGCATGATAACTGAAGTCCCATTTCTCCCTTCTATTTTAGAGAATGCCAGTTAATTAAGGGTTTGTAATTGGTTGGTTAAAAAGATGACAAACAATACAGCTGCACCTTTTGCCCTCATCTGTGATAGCCAAATCTGTGACAGCTGGTTGCACTACTTATAAGGACTCGAAGCAAGAGCTGTGAAATAGTTGTGTTTTCAGTTGGAGCTTCTTCCTGATCTTTTAGCTGAAGATGTCTGGCACTGAATTTAGATTGAACTATATACATATTATGTGGCCTCATCCCATTTACTTTATACAATATTGAAGCTCCCTTTGCATTTTTCTTAGTCATATGGAAAGTGAAATTATGACAGGCATAAAACTTGTTTTTAGCTTGGATTTCTGAGTCCAGAACAAAGTGTGCCTAAGCTGGTATGATTTATTTCCTTTTTCTAGGGATTTCCTTATTCCTGTTGTGATAACCAGTTTGAGAGATTTTATTTATACAGCAACTATTAAATAATGGGATATTCAACAACTGGGCAAGACAGTGCTGTGTTTGTGCATCATAATAGTCTGTGTCTGCTCCTTTGTTTAACTTCTTGTCTTCCTCCTCCCTCCACTTTAGGATGAATGGACAGATGATGATTTCATAGACTGACTGTGACTGTCTACACAGATGGAATTTTGAATACTTAAATGAAAGGTAGAGCTTGAACATGTTTTCCTTGTAGGAAAAAAAGATACATTGCTAATATAATAAATTATTTTTCAAAGTGACTGGCATATGTGATTTTTTTTAAAATAGCACTGCTACAAGTGAGGGACCTTCTGCTGCTGGTCGAGAACATGACTGTCATTTGGGTGTTAATCTGTGATAACATCAGCTTATCCTGAATATAGAAATGGCAGTACACAAAATGGTTAAAGCATGTCAGAGAAGCAGGAGCATGACTCTTATTTAAAACCTCATGTCCAATAGTAACATCACATATTCCATAGTTGAATGTATAAGAAAACGTTTGGAGTTTACAAAAATGCACTTAGGAATGTGGATTCTGCAGTCCTGCTATGAAAGCATGTAATAAGACATTTCCTATCCTGTAAATCTCAACATTTCATTCTTTTGCAAATACAAGCAAGCCACAATTTTAGTTCTCTCTTCTTCACAAGAGCACTTGTTGTGGAATTAACTTGGGAGGCTGTGCTTCACGTCCAGTAATATAGAATTCACTAGTGTTTTACATATTCTTTCAGTTTCAGGTAGTTCACATTTACCATAAATGAAGAGGAGGAAAAGTAGCTGAAATGAGATGGCTGAGTAAAAGCAACCTGCAATGTAGCTACCACATCTACTAGATATATTTTATCTAATTGTTTTTATAGGTGCGTAACATTTCACCTGGTTCAAAATTGGGAAAGGAGTATGGCAAGGCTATATATTGTCAACTTATCTAACTTATATGCAGAGTGCATCGTAGGTAAGGCTGGGCTAGATGAATCACAAGCTGGAATTAAGATTGCCAGAAGAAATACCAACAACCTCAGGTATTCGGATGAAAGTAAAGAACTAAAGAGCCTCTTGATGAGGGTGAAAGTGGAGAGTGTAAAAGTTGGCTTGAAACTCAACATTAAGAAAACTAAGATCATGGCATCTGGCCCTATCATTTTCTGGCAAATATATGGGGAAGAAATGGAGGTAGTGACAGATTTTATTGGGCTCCAAGATCATTTCAGACAGTGACTGCAGCCAAGAAATTAAGGCACTTGCTCCTTGGGAGGAAAGCTATGGCAAATAGCTTTCAACATACTAAACATACTAAAAAGCAGAGACATCACCCTGCCAACAAAAGTGCGTATAGTTAAGGCTATGGTTTTCCCAGTTGCAATGTATGTTTGTGAGAGTTGGACCATAAGGAAGGCTGAGCGCCAAAGAACTGTTGCTTCTGAATTGCGGTATTGGAGAAGACTCCTGAAATAAGAGATCAAATTAGTTAATTCTAGAGGAAATCAATCCTGACTGCTCTTTAGAAGGTCAGGTACTAAAGCTGAAGCTCAAATATTTTGGCCATCTAATGAGAAAGAAGGATTCATTGGAAAAGACCCTGATGCTGGGAACAATTGAAGGCAAAATAAGGGGATGACAGAGGTTGAGGTGGTGAATAGAGAGGTGGGTGTGGGCTTAGGTATACTTTGGGGGATGGTGGACAGTATTTAATTATTTAAAATAATAAATAATCCTAACTGCTGTGCATCTTGATTTGGGTAAAGTTGAAGTCAGATGTATATGAAGGTCCATGAATCAAATCATCCTGTAAAGAATGTTAGCTAGTTGTAGCTTATATTGCAGACTTAGTATCAACTACTCAAAACCCTAAGATTGTGGTTTTTGGGAGTGCCGGGAAAAGGGCAAACGATGGTCATCCTATCAAGCAGCTCCTTCGAGGACTCAGAAAACCCAATGTGAAGCTGTATAATTAACAGCATCAAAAACTACTTAGAACAAGGAGGTCCAACTTTTTGTACCACAAGAGCCACATGAGGACTTCAATACAGAACCTAGGGACCACACAGCTCATTCTCTGACTATGGCCCAAGCACAATGAATACTCCTCTGAGTTGGCCCATCTCATTCTTTCCTGTTTTTCCTGCCCAGAAGCTCTCTCATGTGACCTCCACCCCTGGCCTCTGTTTTCTTTGGTGCATTGAGCTTCTTGTACTTGAGCAAACAAACTCCTCTCAGCATCTCCTGCCCACTCCTGCTGACAAGCTCAAAGATGCTCAGGTGCTCAGCCGAGCATCTTTGTGCTTGTCAGCTGGAACAGCATGGGGCTTGCTCTTGCAAGGCTGCCAGCAAAACTGGCTCTCTTCTTGCGTGGGTCAGGCCTATGTTCTCAGGAGAGTTCGTCACAATCATGCCTGTGTTTTTGCTGGGATCTGGACTGGAGTGAATGGTGGGGGCAGGGATTCTAAGTGGCAAGCATGTTGAACCACCCTGACTTAGAAGATCCAAAAGATTTCTTTTGAAAGAGAGACTACTAGTAGAACCTGATCTAAAAATATTTGTAGGAAAAAGCAGTTGCTCAAATGCGTTATGGGTCTGGGGTAAAGAAAATATAACCCCAGTAGAAGTAATCTAGATTGGATTCTGGAAAAAAATCTTTGCAGTGTTCCCGAGACAAGCTGCAGCACTCCTGAGGACAGAAGCTGTGTAAGTGGTACCAGCATATACCAAAAGAAATTCCTGTATGAGCAAATTAAATCAGGGCTGGGCTCAGATTTGTCAGAATATGGCAATTTTTGATACCTGTGGAACACACAGTGATACATGGCAGCCTCCTTGGTCTTGGTGCGCACATTTTATACTTCCAAATATATATGGATAGGGTGATTATTAGCCATTCTTGCCCATGCTATGCTACGATTTTAAAAAAAATTAGCTTGCAAAGTATCTGCAAGACAGTTTTTCCATAGTGAAGGAAAGAATTTGCAGAACTCAGGTATCAGTAAAAGTTGATTGTTTAGCTAGAAGACATAATCATATTCCAGAAAGAACTAAACTGCAGCTGTGGACATGGTTGTATAGAGTTCTTCTGCACACTGTATGATTGTCTGAAAACAAAGCTCATATCCTATTATGTGTCTCAATGTATAGGACAGTCAACAAATGAAATAGTGCTATACTTAGCCATGCATGAATTCATATCCCATCATGTTGCATTATTCTCCACAGCAGCGAAGAGCATTTGAGTTAGTCTTGTGAAAAAAGCAACTAAGTACTGTAGAGGTCATCTCCCAACTGGATAAGTTAAGCTAACTATGAGTGTTTGTTGGATGAAAGTTATACTACAGTTTGTGTTCAATGACATCTGGTATGCTTAAATACTCATAACATGGCATCATTTTAATTATTTTACGTTATACTGCCTTTAATGGCCAGTGCCCTTCTGCTCATGCTTTTTTTCTTTTATTAAGTTCCTGTCCTTCCCAGCTAGTAGTGTTCCAGTACTTTATCAAATTGCTTTATCCAATGAAGGAATTTGGTTTATCTGCTAGACTGGGAATGAAGTGTGTGGCGTGGGAAAATAATGCTTCAGTCTCTTTTCCCAAAAAGCCTACCTCCTTTTGCTCCTATGGCTATTTGGCAATATAAAAATGAAGGTAACAGATTATCCAGTCTGGGCCATTTCCCAGAAAAGAATTTGCAGATTAAGATAAACTCTTCTTCAAGTCTCACCTGTACATGGATTGCATGTTTGCTTGTTAATAACTGAGTTTGAGTCATTACACAAACAGCCATATGTATGCTATAAAATTATTTAATGAATGCATGCATGCTGATACAATAATCAATAAATTTACTGAATCCAAATTATTTACTATTGTAAACATTTTACAAAAGCTTTGTGATTTATCTGAATATACAGTCCTTGATGGAAAAAATATTCAAAATAATAAATGGCACATTAAAAAAAACAAAGCTGACAAACCCCAGTCTGCATATTCTTTCAGTACAACTCTAAACAAGAATAGAATGGTATAAAAAGTGTACAGCAAAGGTTTCCTATCAAAGTCTGGAAGCTGTAAATACAAACTAAAGTGGTTGAACAATCCTAGTATACTTGTTGTAACCAGTCAAATTACAGTAAATTATTTCTATCCAGTTTTACTTTGCTGTCAAAACATTTCCTTGGCAGTTGACTATGAGTTTTTCCCAAATATAGCAAGACTTTGGCAACTGGAAGTGTTGAAATAACTTTAAAGTTCAAAGGGACAGTCACAGCATTTTCTTTGTGGAAGGTGATCTGTACACCAAGGCTCAGAGGTTGTGAAAACTAGTTCCAAGTGGAAGAAAGTGCAAGTGTCCTGCACAGATAGCTTAAAGCTGCTGGTATGGTCAGTCACCAACAACAGGTTCTTTATTTTTATTTTTATTTTTTGCATAGTTCACACATCACTGGAAATGTGAAATGTGTGTGCTATTTTTGGCAAGAGCAAGGAGGAAATGATATTGATGAAAGTTGTGTTGGATCATGCAGAAAGCTGCTACCTGATGTTGTTAGACACTGAATACTGATTTTGCTTTTGTTGAAGCAGTTCTGTAATTGCCAGCAGCTTCTTTAACACATGCTGTTAAAAAAAAGAAATAGATAATTAAGGCAATAGCAACACTTTTCCATGTATTATTTGAAGTAACTCTGCAGTACTTTTGATCCACAGCGTTTCTTGATGCTTTAAAGGATCAAATCAGTGTATTTGTTTTAAGCCTTAGAATTGACTATGGAAAGGATGTAAACACCATCTAGTCTAACTACATATTGTATGTCAGAATGCCTTTGCCTCCATAGCTTTAATAAGTTTAAAGAAAACCCAGAATGTGCAATGTATTATGTAAACCTTTATTGGGGTCTGACAATATCCTATATAATGCAATTTACTGCACTTCAGATGCAGTAGCCTGGATCCGCACCTGCCGTTCCAGAAACAGGAAGGTTCATTCCATTAATGGAAGCAATTCACATCCACCTGAGGCTCCTGCTGTAGAAAGGGACTGAGGGAAAAGAACAGATTCTGGTGCAGCAGCCAAATAAGCGGGACTTGAGGGTCTGAACACGTAAGACCAGTTTGGGTCCGCTTGCATTGTCTGCCTATATGCTCCCAGTCCTAATTCAAGGTGCTTGTTTTAACCTATAAAGTCATATACTTTTTAGGAATATAATAGCTGTCAGAGTGCCTCACCCAACCACAATCTATTTGGCACTATCTTCAACGTCTGGTGC